GAGGGCGAAGACGGAGTTCGCTCCGATTCGCGATAGTTTACTGGAGGTTCGACGAAATTATCCATGAGGGGATCTATGCGACAGAACTTTCGCACAATATCCTCGAAGAAACCCGATATTCTCGAAAAACTCAAGGCCAGATTAGATGTCCAATGTTCAGCTCGGACCTCGGACGCGATCCGTTAATGCGAAAAAATCCGTTAGTCGAACGAGTGTAAACAAGTTCGGAACGGACGGCCCGCGCCGACGCGGCGCCGCGGCTGCGCGGATCACCGGGCCAGAGTTTCCGTGGCACGGATTCACGACATTTCAAATCAGTGGATTCCGCAAATTGCGACACGGAAATCGAAATTGATCTTATGAGCTGCTGGAGCATTTGTATTATATACAATGAATGTAGGTATACCAACACACCGTAAATCTTCTATCATCACAAGGTATTTTTTCGAGTGCCCCCCCACCGATAGTAGCCCCCCTCCCCGCTCCCGAGCTTTATTCTTAACAGGGCTTATATTATTCGAGATGTACGGTATGTAGTCTTGATAAGAAGTTGTCTATGTATCTGGAGCTACATGAATGATGAATGACGACAATGACGAATGACAACGTATGTCGATTTATCAACATGTTAAGGCAAGCAAGTCGCAAGACCTCCGCCTGGTTTTTTTCCTCACCTCTGCCCCGTGTTCACCAAGAGTCAATCCAATCACGTGCGCTGGGGCTTGCGGCCGGTGTACTTCGAGCTCTATGGTTGCGCTGTGACATCCGGTCTAACGTGAGTTTCAAGTTCTCCCCCGCCGCTCGCCCGCGCCCGCTAACGTACATCTGATTTTTGTTTATAATTGTTGTTCTCACCTTGAAGCAAGCCTAGACGGCGCCGTCAGATGGTTATCTCAGTGTTGCCTTGGCTTGGTCTTCCTCGCAAAGGCAAGGCTTGCTCTTCACAAAATAATCTTCGGGAAGGATTGCTTGGCAGGAGGGAGCTGAATCACCTGAGAACTCGAACAAATTATGTTCAGCTGAAAAAGAAAGTATTCATGACAGTCGCGGATGCTCCGCGTAGATCTTCGGATGTATTTAGGAGTGACGATATCTTTGAGGCTCGCCTCGTGTCCCCTGCTCCCCAATTCATGCGACCTTGAAGCTGAAAGGCGGCGGTCGGTCAGATTTCCCCAGGACCCGAGCACTTCAATGAGAGTTTCTGGGGAGAGTCGCCGATTGCATCGCTAATGCTAATGATGTATCCGATGTGATGATTCATGATCCATCTGGCGGTCGATCACATGCTGTGTGATATAAACCATATTGAGCCAGCCCGTCATAAGCGTACAGACCAAAAATTACAATTTTCCCCCGATGTGCCTCCTGGTTCGATATTCAGAACGGAAGGACGGCGAGCCCTCCTCCCACATGATGAAGTCGAATCTCACTGTCAAATCTCACCATTCTCGATTGATGGCCGGAGTGAGGAGTGTCTGAGCGAGAATCCGGAGAGTGGTGAAGTGAAAATTTCATTGCTTGCCCAAATCATCATTTGTAGATCCTCATCTCTGGGAGTATTCGCTAGCAGCACATGGCTCGCTGCTCGCTGGAGTATCGGGATTTGAGATTCGTCCCGGTCGGTTCCAAATCATCGAGCCCTTCACCGAGACTCCCGGTAAGCTCTCGAAACGGTCCATGAAGATAGGCACCAATCCTTGTCGTGGAGCTTTGTCCATCTCAATGAGACGACCCGCCTTCCGGACTGAGAAAGTTCCGTACATTTTTCCGTTCGAGGTTGGTCCGTACATATGTACGGCTCGTGACGGTACGGTCACCGTACAGCCGTACGAACGGCATGGATGCCTAATCAGGAGGCGACGACGACGTAGTGCTCGATTTCTCCACGTATTGCATGAGAATTTGAGCGAATGCTCTGTACTAGAATCGTCAGGAAGTACCTAACGTCAAGCTTGGGGTTAGGGTGGAACGATCGAAAACGGATCTTCCGCATGCATCATCCTTTAGCAGTGGACCTCCTGAGCTAAAAGCGAGGTCAGCCGGCAGGTTCTCTGCGTTGAGTTGACCGGCGATCAATTGTTCGGCGTCGAGTTGTGCCGGCGTCAGCTTGTCTGGCGATGAGTTGTCTTGGCGTTGAGCTGTCCGGTGTCGACAAAACGGCGATTACTTGTCTGCGTCCGGCCTGAATGAGAGTCCCAGAGGACTGGAGGCAAGCGTATGGAGCTAGAGAGAAACTAGCGCTCTTCCCTTACCTCTTCCCCCTCCTCCCGTGCCATCGATCACCATCAATGTGCACTCTCTTCGATCACAACAACTCCAGCCAGCAATACCGGAATCCGGAGCCGTTGGACTCACGACATCGCGTGGGAGGAATACAATTATTTTCATTTTATTCGACTCGATTCTCTGGCAACAATCATGGCGTCTCCGCCCGGACTCAATTTCTTCAAAGAAGGTTAGTGGTGATCCCAACATCGATGTGCAGCCATTCCGATGCGAAGCGATGCGACCATGCTCCATGCAATTATTCACCATTAATATAAGGTGAACGGGCACTTTTGACGGACTTTGGCTGGGTTGTATCATAGAAGTGCAGCTCGAGGGAACTGAATTAGACTAATTCAAAGATTCGTGCTATCCAGAGACCTTACAAATTGGGAGTTGTTCGCCGTGAGCCGAGAGATCTTTTTCGCAGACCTCACGAACGCGGGTTGAACAAGTCCTCAAATCCAGGATGCCATGGTGTACCGATCTGAAGCACGATCGGAAAAAAGGAGGGGAGGTGTCGGGTGACCGTTTATCTCGCTGCAGGAAGCATAATGCTGCAAACTAAGCCGGCATGAGCTCAGCGTGATATACGGACTCAGAGACCTTCTTCAGGCGTCGTGAGCAAGGCCCTCCCCTGATAGCTTGATGCTATTGATGCCCATGTTTCTGTGGACAGTGGAGCGCTTATCGCTGTTCTCGAGTGATTCTCGAGATCGAAGCTCGCGTGGGGCTCCTGCAGCCCGCGAGGCATTGAGACGAAACTCCGGATGAAGCAATACCCGGGCTTCAAAATTCATCAGATCTTCCTCAGCTAAGATTGGTCACGTGTCGTATGACTCAGGCACCAAAGATTCCGACATGATTTCTTAGTACTCGTCATCTTAGCGCGGTTCAAAAGCGCTGGACGGCATCACCGCCCTTTAAAAATAGATAGCGGATTGTCTGTCCGGTGGATTGGCGTTCAGGAGGCAGCTCTTTCTCCGGGGATCCCGATACATTATTCACATTTTGGAACTTTAATCAATATAAATTTCACAGGTTATTTCACTGAGACGGGAACTATGAATCCGGAACCAAGTGTCTCGCTAAAGGTTGACGAGGTCCTGTATCAAGGCGAAAGCGATTTCCAGAGAATATTGTTCTTTCGATCGGAGAAGTTCGGTAGAGTTCTCTGTCTTGACAACGCGATCCAATGTACCGAATTTGATGAATTCGCTTATCAAGAGATGATCAGTTTCTTGCCGCTCAACTCACACGAGAACCCACGAGAAGTGTTGATCATCGGAGGCGGAGATGGAGGAGTCGCCCGTGAAGTGGCAAAGCATCCAAAGGTGGATAAGATAATTCAATGCGAGATCGATGGCAAGGTTGTCGAGCTCTCGAAGGAATTCCTCCCGCACATGGCTTGCGGCTTTGCCTCGGAGAAGGTAAGAACCCTCACCACCCAATCGGGATTCTTTTTCCTATCCCGGATGGGACGAAGGTCTTTCCGATTCATACAAGGATCGTCCGGGTATCCGTGACCATATTTTCTCGTCCTAGATCGATTTGCGAATAGGCGATGGCATCAACTTCGTCAAGAATACGGAGTGCCGTTTCGACGTCATCATCACCGACTCGTCTGACCCCATCGGACCAGCGGAAGTACTCTACCAAGATGATTACTACGCATCTCTGAATAAAATCCTGAAACCAGGCGGTATAGTCTGTTGCCAGGGAGAATCTCTGTGGTGGGGGAAATTTCTTTCATGCGAATTCTGGACAATTATTGAATGGACGCTCTGCGATGTGACGGACCTATTGTGTCGCGCACGCAGTCGCTCATTGTCGCCGTGCTCCTGGGACCCCCAGAACGAGCCTGAGGAGCGAAAAATATTCCTGAAATTCTCCTCCTTCTTCTTCAGGTTCGACCGCGAGTTCATTCGGGAAGTCCTCGGCCGATGTTCTAAGATTTTTGCCAAAGTCGATTATTCGTCCATTTACATACCAACGTATCCTGGAGGCCAGATCGGATTCATAATGGCTTCCAATTCGGAAGAGACCGACTTCAGGCGGCCCATAACTGTATTTTCAGACGACGAGAGCGAGAGGATGAGATTGAGGTTTTTATGCCGCAATGACCCATATATTGCTCTATAGATACTTCTCTTCAGCCGACATCGAAATCTTTTTGACGTTTCCAGGTACTACTCGAGCGAGATACATTCTGCGTCGTTCGTTTTACCTCGTTTCGCTCGCAAGTACGTCGATGAATCGCTCGGAAGGAAGTAGCAGACAAATCAGCAGAATTCCCAATAAAGGTTTTGCAAACATCATCCCTGGAGCGTTCCCCGTCTTCATTTGGGGCATTGCTGATTGTAAAACCGCGAATTCTGCTATATACCGGGCCGCATCGTCAGTTATCATGAGAACAGAGTGCTGATCCCAGCACGATATCCTACGATTAGGTACTTATTGAGAACGATTCTGAGTCCAGGAGCAATGAAGCAGCTGATCGCTCCCTCCACCCGGCTAACTCTAAGCCACAAATCTCCATCCCGAGAGCGCATTCTTCGCACTCAGATTGGCCTCGAGCAGCTATGACACCTGGCTTGACGGCAGCTCCTCGATTTGGCCTTTTGTCCTCTCGTCTGAAGATCATCAGGCTGCTCCGCAATATCATGCGGGGCCTTCTTGGGGTCCCCACGCTGGATCCCAAAGAGGGACTCCGTTACGATTGGGAGCGGGTCAACCCCGGTCGTGACATCAGTGCACATACCGATCTGCCGACTGGGTACCACCGTGAAGCAATGAGTGGAACCATTCGAGATCGTAGAATTGTGAGAGTTCGATCCGTGTAGTCGGGCGACATGAACGCCCATCTTCCGCAGTCCGACAGTAGGATGAATGGGCGTGGCAAACTCCTCCGTATAGACCCCGCGGAGGAATTTTGAGGAGAAATCACTCGCAAACAGGACGGAGGAGCTACAGAAGTGCGACGGTACTGAGGAGTAACAGAAAGGTATATATATGATGCTTTGAAGAAGCAACAGAAACACATGTAGATGAGAGGGAGGGAACCCCGCAATCGACCGACCATGGCGTCTCTAGTCTGTCGGGTCAACCGAGATGGTGCGTCGGGCTTCCGAACCTCGCTCATGTTTGGGATACAGTGGATCGAGAGTTCTCCATACACCAAATATCGTGCGATGAGACTCATGGATGGGAACCCGTCTCGGCTCCTAGAGAGGCTCTTTCGAATAATATGTTTACTCCTCAAGCAGTGGCGGATCTGGCACGGGTGGCGCCCGGGGGCAAAAAGACTGAAATGCGCCCCTGACTCTGTTCCCGACGGTACCTAGTCCCTCAAGTGAAAAACAGATGCAGATGCGATGAACATCGCGACTTGTATTCAAATCAATTCCCTCCTCGCTACGATTACGATGTCTCGATGCATTATAATTTGAAGCCCGACTCGTCTTGCCCCAACAGTGGCGAAATTTTCGATAACTGATTCAAAGTCCGGCTCCTCCGTTGCCTCTCTCTCGATGCCCAGAAGAGCCAAATCCACAAGTCGCTCTTGATTCATCGAAGCTCTAAAGTGCGTCCCGATCAGCTTGAGTTTACTGAATGATCTCTCGCAACTCGCAATGGAGACCGCCACCGTAAGTAGAATCTGGATTGACACAAGCAAATTAGGGAACACACTGGCGTCACCGTATTGAGCAATGAACTCGAGAACTTCTTCGGGTTTCCTCAGACGCACCTCGCTTCTAGTACCAAGCAACATTCTGCAGCCTTGAAGAGGAGAGGGAGCTTTCGAATATGCATATTATTAGTATGCAGGGGCGCCGATTCCAAGTCCCACGCTCACGGGAGCTAGGCTCGAGCCAAATCGAGCGCCAAAATGTTGAGCGAAACGCGTAGATATACATTACAAATCGTAGGGAATGAAACCTCGATTCTGCGCCTCCTACCAGAGGCTCGGCCCTCGCGCTCGGGGGCAATAGATTGTGGTTCTCCTCATCTTCGAGAACGAGGCCTTCTTATTCACGGATCCTCCATCCTCGAGAGCCGAATTCTACTATTCTTAATTCGATTCCGGGCTCCACTGTGTGATCTACACCCCTTCGAGAGTCGACGCGACGCAGGAAACTTGAGAGACGATCCGGTCGGCGGAGACAACTGTGATCGAAAAGAATTACAGGATGGCGAGCTCGCTGCCTAATACGTGACACGTGAAGCTTCACCGGGAGGGACCCGACACCCCGAGAACAATCAACGTTATCAACGTTGTGGTGTGCTAAAAAACTGTCGAGTCATGGAGTCCACACCCGCCCAGATTGACTTACGGTGCAGCCCTATCTACCTTGGAGCGGAGGCGTTTCGCTGCGCAGAGATGCGATTATGGAGATGCGTGTATATGGGTCGAAGGTTCATGGCGCCTGTCTGCGGCCAAAACGTGGACCCGAATCTCGGTCTGTTCGAGCTCTGCGACTGTCGGCTAGAGGGCGGGATAAGCGCAGGCGAGAATCAACATCTGAGCTTCATGAGGACCCGGGGAAACAACATGGGCTCGGTTCTTCCTGGAGTCCTTTTCGAATTGGCTAGAATGCGAAATCCGTTGAAATCCTCGGCGACGAACAACGACTACGTTGCCCCACGCGCCTGGTGCCTCTCTCCACCAAATGACCTAGTTTGCTCCATACCCCCATCACGACCTAGTTCCGAACACTCCCGCAGAGGCCTGTGAGGCATTGCTAGGTTTGATCGGACGCCGACACCGCTCCGAAGTGCGTGCAGTGATTCAAGCAATGCCCTGTGTCTTATTGCCAGTGGTCATCTCCCAACCTCCACCGCGCAAATGACAGTACTTCACGCGCAGCAGTGCACCGTGCCAAAATAGAATCATTGACCCTTGGACTTTCGTCAGAAGTATATCAGATTCTGACGTGATCATGTCTCGACTCTCGCTCCATAACACCACAGAAGAGATTTTGAAGGATCGTACCGCCACGTCGGCTCGTTTTAATGCTACTGCGAAAGTGGCGACACCGATAAGGCGACCGTTCACGGGCTCATCGGGGAAAATGAAGCCGGAGGAAAGGCGTCACTCCATCGCGACGGAGAAGTTACACAACAGTTTGAACTCACGCCGAAACTCCTTTGTGAGAACAAAGAGCTTCTTGCTGAAAACTGATGTGACAGAGTGTCCTCCGATCGAGCAGGAGGAGCACGTGCCGATCAAGGTAGCTGTTCGCGTTCGACCATTCGTGGGGTTCAAGAGTCTGATATGGTAAGGTCCCGACGTGTTCGGCGCTGGGAGGTTTAGATTTTTTGAGACCAGGGATCGTTTGCGGGATTCCCGGCACTTTGACCTCATGATCCCTTCGTGCATAGCTCCGAATTTTCAGAATGAATTATCCCTTCTACCATTTCCCTCCTGAAAATCCGACCTCAGAAACGTCTGCCTTCCTACGGCATTGAAAGTGATGGTGGGATCGAGACAGAGGCACGCGAGCGCCCGGTGATCGGAAGTTTCACTTACCCCGTGCGCTCGCCCTAGATGCTGATCCTCGCAGGTCCTAGAAGAGAGCTCTGACCCATACTGACATTCTGTAGAACAAGAACGCAACCAAGAGGGCTTCGTAAGCACCGATGAGACCATCACATCGATTGACATTCCAACTTGACTGAGTCGGCGGATTGCATCAACGATTGGGTAACATTCGGCAATGAAGTGATCTAGGTCGGAGCGCCGACAGAGATCCTCGGGAAGCGTCAAACCCAGGCATCTAGCTGACTGAGCCAGGGATCTCGATGATGGTGCCCCCCACACGGCATCGCCAACCCTGCTCTCCTTCCTCGTGTAGCGGAAAAGCACGAGCTTCTTCTTGCACGCATGGCCACCTGACCAAGAGTACGGGAAGTCCCAACAGCCCGTTTGAACCGACTTTGGAGCGCTCGGGATATGTCGCCTACGAGTGTGTTCAAGCTGGGAAGAATATCGATGTATTGTCATCTGCATATGCAACTGCCCAACGAGAAGTATCCTAGAATGTTATGGTGCCCTCCAACTTGCCCAGATCACGCGCCCGAAGTCAACGAAATGTTGAAGACCCTTGTGAGCGGTCCGGCTTCGGCAGCAATCCTGAACAGCTCATCAGAAACCCCGCTGATCCAGACTCTCCAGCTCCCCCTCATGCCCTCAAGAACACTTAAGGTCTCAGCATCATTGATGGCATTCGACGGGAACTCAACGCCGGTTCCACACGCGGAGTCCAGCAGCAGACCTATGTCGACAGCAGCAGTGTCGAAGTCTAATGGTCGAGGAACCAACCGCTGCGAAATGATGACTCAGTTCGTCCGCCAGCTCCCTGGAGAGACTTCCCTTTGAGCAGTGCTGGGGCGGCTTGGAAGCTCGGCTCGAGCGCCCCCTCTCCCGCATGCTTCATTCACGAATCGCCAGCTCTTTTCGTGATTGTACCTGACTGAGCTTATTAAACGTATGTATCACTGTGGAGGCCGTTCAGCCATGCAGTTGGATGAAAACCAGGGACGGGTCATCAAGACGTCGGCCCAAGAGGCCACCCATGGAGAGCTTTGATCTGAAATCTGAACGAATGTGTGAGCCCGCGATTATGCCGCCCCGGACGGAACTTCCCCTTCTCCCTCCGCGACTGACTACATGCTCTGTATTTCGTAAACGTGTGTGTATACGTATTTATTTGGTCTCGGGCCTCGGATCGGCATTCTCAGAGCATGTCGCTCTGTGTGCGTCAACACAGCTTTCTTGAGCGCTCAGACATCATGACCCAAGGGGATAAACGGAAAATAGAAGTCGGAGACCACATTTCCTCTTCCACGCCCGAGAAGTGCCACTCAGAGCTGCGCGCCGCTCGCGGCCGATTCCGGCGGCGGCGGGGTGAAAGAACACAGGCGGCGTCATACAGTATTTTTCCTATCTTATACTTCGCATCCTTGAATGCAGCAATACCCCGCCGAAGAAGCGTCGTTTGGAAAAGCTTCACCAAGGCAGTATACATGTCGTATGAAAGTCAACTCCTCTAGAACTTAGAATCGCCATTAGTATCGGTTATGCGATATGGAACTTTTCTCATCACAAGCGTGAAGAGTCTCCCAAATGCTCTTCGAGTCCTTGAATAATCTCGTCTTCTCGCAAGTCACTCCCTGCGAGGAATCTCCTTCGGGCTCCCGCTAACGCGATTCTGCTAAAATCGAGAGGATGAAACTTGCCAAGTCCGACTCATCCAGCGATAATCAACAGTCTCATTTGACGATGAGTGAACGCTTCCATATTTAAAAGATTTTAACAGCTTCAG